ACCTTCCTGCACCCCAAACCCCTCATTCCTGGCCCCACCCCAGAGCCCATGCCCCTGTACCCCAACCCTCTGCCCCAGAGCCCCCCTCCCACACGCTGAACCCCTCAGTCCCACCCTCATCACATGAATTTTGTTATGTGCACCAATATGAAGGTGGTGTGTCATATTAGTGCACATAACAAAATTCATTCTGCACATGGGTGGGAAACATTAGAGGGAACCCTGCTGATCACCCTCCTCTTTATAACCACCTTTGACACACCTGAAGACAGCGAGCGTGTCACTACAACAATAGCCTGTTCCGCAAAACCTGGACTGTGTTCTACCTCAACAAAAGCGCCAAGGAGCACTGGCAAGAACAGATGAAATCCTGGAGCCGCTGAAGTCCATTGACTTCAGTGGAGCCAGGGCTTCACCCAACATATGGGCTTGACCAGTATCAATACACAACCCATCTAGCCTGCTTGTTTTCATACTTCCCATGTCTTAGTGGCACCTATTATGTCCTCCAAGCCAGCCAGCTCATCAAGTGATCCATCCCCTGTCGCACAGTTCCAGCTTCTGGGAAACGGAGGCTAGGGACACCATCCCTGCCCATCCTGGCTAATCGCCATTGATGGACCTATCCTCCAGGAACTTATCTAGTTCTTTTTTTAACCCCGTTATAGTCTTGGCCTTCACAACATCCTCTGGCAAGGAGTTCCACAGGTTGATTGTGCGTTGTGTGAAAAAAATACTTCCTTTTGTTTGTTTTAAACCTGCTGCCTATTCATTTCATTTGGTGACCCCCTAGTTCTTGTGTTATGAGAAGGAGCAAATAACACTGATTCAGCTAGTCCAGTGGTTCCCAAACTTTTTACCTCGCAGCCTGTCCACACCCTCCCCACCGGGGCTGGGAGTGGGGCCAACACAGGGGTAAGGGGGTCAAGGCTGGGGCCACAGCTAGGGTGGGAGCAACGCCTCGGCCAGGGCCAAGGCCGACCGCCGGGACCCCAAGTGTGGGGCCAGCAGCCAGGACCAGCAGCCGGGGCCAGGAGCAGAGCTGGGTGGTGCTCCCTCTGGGCCCCACATGGGGGCTGGCCTGGGCCCCAGCCGCGCCCCCCGAACGTTCTTCCGCACCCCCCCAGGGGGATCTCTGAGCTAGTCAATACCTCTTTGCAATAACACGGGTAAGTAAACTGTAGGAAACCATCAATCAGGGCAACAGGATCGGTATGCGTTTCTGCATACCAGGATCCCAAAGCAGAAGACTGTTTCCAAAGGGAATGTTTTCCCTGAGGCAGCCTCTGCTTTTAGCTCTGACAGATCCAGGAACCGGCATTTCAGCAGCCTGGGGTTGTATCTGATGAAAGAGCCGCGTTATACAGACATGCCGTTCAACGCGCTCCCATCCGCGCTACTTACTGGTAGAGATTTTTCACAGACTGCTCGCTGCTGGTGACAGTGTAATACGGCCCTTCTCTCTTCAGGTAATCAGTTTCGCCTCTGCTGAAACCCACTCTGGCTGGCAGCTCCAGTTGGACGTTGTAAGACTCCTTGGGCCGAGTCCCAAAGAACTGAAGGCCGTCATCGGGATAAAGGAAAAGGGCGTAGGTGTCGGAGTCATCATAGGCTAAGACTGCCTGGAAGGTGTTCAGCTGCAGAAGAAAGCAACATCACAAATGTACGGGAGACTTGTTAAACGGGGGCTTGGATGCGGGAGTCACCATGAGAGAAAGCCCTGGAATGAGGGACACAAACTGACCTCACCTACATGGGACTTTGGTTTTGATGCAATTAGTTCACAGCAATTAAAAATAAGGGCACATCAAAGGGGTTTGGAACTCTGGGACCAGACTGGGTGACATTGTACGGGGAGACTTTGGCAAACCAGTAAAGTGCCTGAAAGCACTATGGCTTATTGTTAAAGGCGGCCTAGTCAGCAAGCTGTAAACTGGTCATTCAGCGGTCTCAGCTTGACCAAGGTAGGAGGGGGGGAAGTTTTAAGGTGCCACAGAAAGGGCAGCTTGACCCCGCATCCTTCCTGATAAGAATTGTGTTGAAGTTGCTGATCCATGCATTTTAGAAGAGCAGGATGTGCCCCAGGAATGTCTATTGGGGTCTCAAGGCTGCAAACTCTGGAAAAACCCACACCTGGTTAATCAATAATCAGAAGGAGCCTCTTGCTTGCCCATTGGAACTGCTTGCTTAACAAGTTTTCTCTAAGGGACATGTCATTCTATTACTAATGTATAAATAAGGGAAAAAAGCTTGAGATAGTTGGACTCGTTTGGGGACTCTTTTTGGACTCTCCCTCTGGATACATCTTGCAGTCCCCACCGGCAGACGAAAGATTTGGCCACCGGAAGCCTGCCGCTATGTCACTCGAAAGCCACACACAGCTTTGGTAATTATCAAGGGTTGGGGGTGTTTTACTAATCTGTTGCGGATGTGTGTAAGTGCTTGAGACTAAGTAAAGTTTAACTTTAAGTGAAAGCACTCTTGTGTTGTCCTGTTTGTGCCAGCCATCTATCGGTCGGATGGCCGTGTCTCCCCTGATTTCCTGACACCACCTCGCACAGAGTAAAAGTTACCAAGAGCTTTGGGTTGAAAGAACCCCGGATAACAACATCTCCTGTGATGAAAACGTGAGAGGTAGGGACAACGGCTAGGATTTGGCAAGAGAGTTATACCTCTGAAATTCTCTGGGAATTGGGCATCTCATTCCTTTGGAAAATCCCACTCAGGTGCTTAGCCAGAAAATCTGTCAATAGCAACCATCTCTTATCCCCTTCCCCCTGTATGTCCAGCATTAGAATTATTACAACCCTCCACATCTTGTTAATTGAAGGGAGAATTATTACAAGCAGCGCCTTTGGAATCTAGGAAAATAATTTAGTGTCACAATCTTGCGTGTGTTGCAAAATGATCCATAAGTGTGATATGTTCTGGGTGTTTAAAACAGGAAAGGGGGGAAATCGTCTCCCTGTTGCGCGCGTGCACACACACACACACCACACAAACACACACACAGGCATTCAAGAGAAGAGAATGAGGGACCTGAATATTCGCTGGAACTACAAGAAATGTGCAACCTGGGGCTTTTACCCTGAAGAGAGACCTCCTAGCATATCATAGGAAACGCCATGTGAAAAAACTGGGACTGGGATGTGTTGCCAGAACTGCTGTTACCAACCCCAGCACTGTAGAGAGGAACAAATGCAGTGTGCGCCTTCCGCTTTTCACGTGGTTTGTGTTTGACTGAATTCTCACATGGAATTCTTGCCTCAGCTCGCACAGGAAAGCAGCCAGAGATCGATAGTGGCTCACGAAGAACCAAAACCGTACCACATTCTGCATTCGTTATTTCGTATGGGAGAGAGTTGGCTCATTGGCTCAACGGGATGTGGTTTAAATTGGGCTTAATGAGCTTTTTGTGTAATTGGTGCCAATGGTCCACTTCAAACAAGAATGATCAGTTCACACCACAATGATCCCATCATGAGGCGTTTCCACGGTTTGGAAATCCAGGCACAAACTTCTACGGTATTGCTCACCAGCCAGTCAGACCATGAGACTCACCATCTGTCCATAGATTAGTCCTCAGTCTCCAGACACGTTATGTGTGAAACAAATTTTGCTGGCCCCAGTCACAGTCCCTAGGGAGCAATACAACCCAGCTGGCAATCTCTGGTCAGGACAGCAGAGGACCGAACAAGGGCAGGAGAACAGGGCTGCAGTCAGGAACAAAGTTCACCCACCAGACCCTGTGGGGACTGTGGTTTCCTCAGCTCTTTCTCCATTACCCACCTGCCTTTCACACGGATCTGATGTTCAGACATAAACGACCCTCCCAAGACTGTCAGCGTCCTCGCTGGGGTGGGGGGAAACCGTGTTACATAAACAGGGGCTGTGCTTCTGTCCAACTGAGATAGGAGCAAGAGAGACACCTGAATTTGCCACTGTGAGCCAGGAAATGCCCCTGTGAAGTCTTTTTGAGCATCCTCCAGCTCCAGGAAGACACATTATTATTAACGTGAGGCTAGATTCTGCTTTCATTTATACCTGGGGTCTCTATCTCTAGTCTCTATATATCTATATCTCTAGTCGTAGAATCATGGAGATGTAGGGCTGGAAGGGATCTCAAGAGGGGGGCCAGGCCCATGTGTTGAGACAGAGTTAAATATACCCAGATCAGGGGTTCTCAAGACAAATTTTTTGGTGGTCTCAGAGTGCGGCCATCCATTCTTGCTGGTGGCCATTCTCACACTTTTTCCTAAGATACTTAATTTGCTTTAGGAAAAACAAATAAATATGCACATAGACATGTCCAAATCATTGTAATTTCTATATGGCTAGCTAGTAAGTCTGCTGTGAAAAGTGATATTAACAAACTTACAAGGATCACTTTTCACAGCAGACTTACTCAGCCCTGGCAAGCCTGGGGACAAATTCAACCCTGGATAAGGGTCGGGGGAGGCAGCGAGGGTTGGGGACGACAGGGTGGGTGGGTGGCCGGCCGGGGGAGGCTGGAGCATGAAGCCCTGTGGCCAGATCCCAAAGCCCCACGGCTGGGGAACGGGGCTCAGGGACAGAGCCCGAAGTTCTGGGGCTGGAGCCCAGGGCTGGAACCTGAACTCCCACAGCCAGAGCCTGCCGCCTCCCCAGGGCTGAAGCCCAAAGCCTGAGCTCCACCACCTCTGGGACAGTGGGGAACTCACTGGCTGCCTGCTCCTCCAGTGTTGTGTCCCAAGTGTCTCCGGAGGGGGGCAGGGCCCAACCCCTACTGACAGCCCCAGCAACAGCAATCAACACCAAGGCAGTGCAGTCAGGAAAAACAGGGAGGGGACTCTACTTTGCCATTCCCCCTCTCCCCCCATCAAAGCCCTGGAGATTGTGGCCTCAAGAAAAGCCCCTTGGTGGCTGCATGTGGCCACATTTGAGAAACGCTGACCTAGACCATCCCTGACAGGCAGTTGTCCAACCTGATCTTAAAATCCTCCAAGGATGGGGATTCTGCAACCTCCCTAGGTAGCCTGTTCGTGTGCTTAACGACCCTTAGCCTTAGAAAGCCTTTCCGAACATCTAACCTCAATCTTCCTTGCTGCAGCTTAAGCCATTTCTTGTCCTGCTGGATGGAAATGGAGAACAACCCATCACTGTCCTCTTTATAACAACCTTGGACATATTTGAGGACTGATATCATTTCCCCCCTCAGCCTTCTGTTCTCTAGATAAACATGCCCAGTTCTTTCAACCTTTCCTCAGAGGTCAGGTTCTGTAAACCTCCTCTCCTTTCTGCTGCTCTCCGCTGGACTCGCTCCAATTTGTTTGCATCTTTCTTCAAGCGTGTTGTCCAAAACTGGCCACGGAACTCCGGCGGTGGCCTCAGCAGCGCTGAGGAGAGGGCAACCATTAACTCCTGTGTCGTCCATACGACGCTATTGACGTCAGAGGAGCTACTCCAAATATACAACAGGATCTGGTGAGAGCAGAACCCGTTCCAAAACCCGGAGATTGTCAGTTCACGATCACTTAGGCTATGTCTATGTAAACCATACACCTCCCGGGCGTGGGGTTCTGTCCCATCTAGTGGCACCGAGACCACGTAGCGAGAGATTAATGAGTCTGCTCTACAGCCTTCGATAAGAGCCACGTGGCTTTTAGCTCACCCAGTAGAGGCTCATGCACTAAGCTTCAGAGGTCCCAGGTTCGATCCCGCCTGCGGATGACTGGGGCCTGTTGGCGTTACATCTACACTAGCAGTGCTTTACCAGCTAACTATACTCCTGGTGTGGACGCAGCTATGCTAGCAAAGCCGCAGTTTGGATGAATATTGTAAAACCCCTATACTGGTAAAAGTGCAAGTTTTGCGGCTATATCTAAATTGTGCTGGCACAGCTCTGTCGGTCGGGGATCACAGCTATGCTTGCAGAAGGCTGTAGTGTAGACATGGCTGTAGCCCTTGTCTACACGTAGGTTTTGTACCGTTATGGATGTGAATTTTTTCCCAATATAGTTCTACTGGTACAACCCCACATGTGGACATAATTATATCAGTATAAAGGTGCCTTATACCTGTGTAGCTTATTCCTCTTCCCAGTCACTGTATGATATCCCAGTATAAACACATTTATACCGGCATAACTGTCCCACCAGTGGCTTGGTACAATGTGTGTGTGTAGACAAGGCCCAATGCACTGGAAAAGAAGCTGCTAATTCCTCAGAAGGTGAATCAATATACCACACGTCTCCTTGGAGCAGATGTTCCTTGTAACCAACACCAGGCCAGATCGCTGGCCCATGTAAATGGCGTCGCTCCAGTGAAGCCAGTAGACCTGTGCCAATTTACACCACCATTGTCTAAAAACTAGCTATAAGCAGGAATTTTTAGACTGACCAAGGAGCAGCTCCAGTTAGCGAAGCTCATAGGGCATCCCAAAATTAAAATAGGTCTCCAGCATATCCACCTCCCTATCTATGTCTACGAGACCCTCGTCACCAGAGTATCTGAGGACTTCAACACTATTTGATTTCATCCTCAGTCCCCATCTGAGGTAGGGCAGTGCTATTAGTCCCGTGGGAAACTGACGCATGGGGTGGCTTAAAGGACTTGCCCGCGGTCATACAGGAATTCTGTGACCCAGCCAGGAACTGAG